GTTCAGCATTCTCTTGAGTGTCACGTCCCTCTCTGTGTAATTACTTCAGTGTTATTACTCTGCCTTATTTACAGCTTTAGAGGCAACTGGTTCCCAAGCAGCTGCAAATCATGTTGCTGTGAGATGACACCCCTCCTCCGAGGGAGACCGCTGGATTATTTTCAGGCACCATCATTGCAAAACTAACAGGAGCTTTATTGTCCCGTTCTGTGCCGTGTGCTCTCCTGACACAACACGTAATGTGTAAAAAAATAAAACAGAATCTATCTTTGAACATGACACACTACAGCTGTATTGAGACTTTATTAAACATTTGATAAAGCACGGCAAGCGAACCATTCTTCTTTTAAGAGAAGATCCCTCCTTTGGTGACAGGTAGAAGTATCTTACTGCTACTTAAAGCCCACTCATACAAAGTATCCACACATGCAAGGAACAGCATTTAGTCTTCAGTCTACTCTAAAACGCTTTAAAAAAACATCAATTTAATAATGGTAACAGGTAACAAAACTTTAATGGCTTTACATACAAGTACCGCGTTTGCATGTTGATTCCTTCACACTGAAATGACCACTTTCTTTCACATAATGGCAACAGAGTTACAGACAATATGTGAGGCCAAACAACAGCAAACGGCCTCACACTTCTTCACAGGCCCTTTATCTCAGGGACAGCTCCCCTCACTCTGACCTTACACACGACAGGTCTTCCCATTTACGTCACTTTAGTTCCGTGTATGTAATAACACAAATGTGTAGATTTGAAAACAAGTATGCTAAAATGTATTTTTCAGAGGATGAGGTAATCGAATAAGTACCCCTGTTCCCCTGCTGTCAGCTCTACTTTTTTTTACTCATAGTAGTGCCTCTGGTGGGAGAACATTCTCTTCATGTTTCTGTTTCTTTTCTTCCCTCCTTTCGGCTCACGGCACTTCATGTGCGTAGGATGACCATTGTAAGAAGCCCTAAAATATGACAAGAAATAACACCGGGTATTATAAACTTCATGACACGCTTTGTCAAAACAAACAGCCTGGTTCTCACTTCAGAATTGAACATGCAACTTCCTTCTGTTTATACTCACCGAGAACATAAGCAGCTACAAGTTTCTTGTTAACACTTAAGTGGAGGTAGACAGGCACAGTAGATTCTTGCTCCCCCAGTGTCGGGAGCATCAGGGCGGCCATACACACCAGCCCAAGCAGTACTGTCAACAGACTGGGTCCTCCAGCAACAGGACGGCTCTCTGCAAGTGTCACATACACACAAATAAACACACTTAGATTGAGTGCAATCACATGTGTAACTCAGAAAAAGCCTGGTAATTTACCAAACTAACTTAAACTGCTTCCATTTAAGTCTGAAGGGGGACCCAATAGCAATATACAGCAGATTATGTGGCACTAAATTAATGTAGGTATAATTAAGAATATTATTTAAAACAAAGCAACACAGGGTTGGAAGAACAATAATAAAATTAGAATAAGCAATATCGCTTGAAATGCTCACCAACTGAATTTTGTGATAATTTGGCTCCATCTAGAGGCAGTTTCACACAGCAGCGATTTCCCCTCTTTTTCCTACCTGTCTGGAATGCAGTCTGTTCAAAAAACTCGCCGTCAGCAATTCGGCGTTCCTCATCTTGGGGCCGGGGGCTAGGCGGGTCCTGTGAGGCAGAGGGACGGAGAGTGGCCGTCACCTCTTTGCGGCCCAGAGCTTTCCGCTGACTCTGCTCTGACACCTGCAGCCGGAACTTGTCGTAGACCCCATAATGGCACGCGCGCACATCTCGGTGTCGGATTACTCTGCGTGGATGCAGAAAGTTAGCTGTACAGACAGCAATAAATTAATCAATCTGTTAGTTTAGGTTCACCATAGCGTGAACTAACTCACATATCAACGCAACACTGAGGCTTGACGGCTCCAGTTGCATCCACCACGGTGTACTTGTTTGGCGCTGTGCACAGCACTGACAACAAAGAAAACAATACACGACGCAGCCATGTGATTGGAGATGAACATAACAATTATACGTAAACACAGAGATGTTGTTTCGATCTGCTCACTGACCTTTAAACTTGAGGGCGAACTCATAGGGATTGTAGAGCGTGAGCACCTGTTTGTGAGACAACTGATCATCGGCATAGAAGACGAGCTCATTGGGGAACACGAACACGGGAAGGCTTCCTCCCACCAGCTCTGGCGGTCGATGCTGCTGCTGCTGCATTGGCTCCCGCTGAGCTCTCCCCTCTGCCCAGGCCCCGCCAACTCTTCTCTAGCAACTCTCAAGCTTTGTGAGCTCCTTTCAGGTGAACAGCACTTCCCACTCTCAGCTCCTTAGGGCCATGACATGATACTGTGAAGAGACACAAGTGATGAAACGCAAAATACGCCAAGAGGCAACAGCCTGCCACTCTTTTACATTTTATGAAACTCTAATAGGTTAGTAATAGTGTAGTGGTAATACATTTCTTTCATTTATTCATATATCTCCTATAGCTTCTAGTTACCTTACACTTTACTGTGCCTGTTTGTTTACTTTAGTGACTCGAAGGCAAGTTTCTGCCCACCTCTTAGATGCTTTGTCTGTTTAGCTTCTCCCCCACCTCTGTGGGTTCACACCCTCTGTTTCCTCACCCCCCACTGCATAACAAAGAATGAAGCCATCCCCCGCCAACAAAAGTTACCCCACCCCCATTGCCTTCATTTTATTATGATATTCTAGTATATTTAAAAGTACATTTAAACACTTATAACTTAATTAGATTCTAGATGTACTCTGTTCAATTTAAAGCAAAAATATAATTATATCACTTACGTGATTAAAAAAAATGAGAATGTTAAACTCATCTAAATGTTTTTTAGTTTAGTCTGTTTTTTAAATTTAACAGTGTAATAAGATATTTACATTGATAAACAATAAAACCTTTTCTAAACCACCTAAACCCATGTCTTTAAAACTTGAGCACAGCAAGGTTTTGTTATATACTGATAATCCTACACGTGCTATATTTTAACGTGACGTGTATTTTCTAAAGGCAAATACTTGAAACAAAACTCAGACCTTAATGATAAGCGAGAAAGCTAAGGCAATTTCATTGGTACAACTTTTTATTAAAGGCAAACAAAGTTAAAGTGAACTCCATGTGCCTGGTCACGTGGCCCTTTGTGTTTACATGGTAACGGAAGAGCTCGAGGAGCGAGACCTGTGGTGTCGTAACACTTTTTATTTTCTACGTATTGTTTGCTCCACGTCAGAAAAACACAATAAAATCACTACATTTGAAGCACGATACTGCGAAGTCACTTTCAGTATATGAGATATGATATGTTATTAAGTTATCTAGATTTCTTTAGCATTTCGTTAGTGTATATAAACTCAAAGCTGCCTTTAAAGCACAGGTAACAACGTAAACAGACACCAGAAATTGGTTTTTCGTTGAATATTTGACATAAATCTATAACAACTGTGATTTTAAATTAATACGGTGCCCAATATTAAGTAATACCGATGGTATAACATGTTCTTTATCTGCTCGTGTAATAACACATATTTTCACTGTAATGCTAACGGTGTTCAATACTGATGGCTAGCGTTAGCCGGCTAAGAAAACCCAGCTGATAGCAAATTGCCTCTTAAACGTTGTCTACACGCAGTGTCATTTCAGAAAGCAAAGCGCAGATTTATTTAATTTCAATAACAAGTCAGAGTGAAACTTTACCTTGTTGTCAGCACACGGGTTCGTGAAACGTTGGCGCTGTAAACGAGATCTGTGCTTCTGCTCCCACCCTGTTGTTGTTGCTCCTCAAGCCTTTTTTTTTCTTTGTGAATAATTGTACTGCAGACCTCGCGGTGCATGCTGGGATGGCAGAAGGCGAGTACGTGAGAACGTAAATGTTCTCCCAGCACGCGGGCTAACGTGTTTATTACAATTTCATAACGTTTGGATCGGAGCAGAGAAAACTTTACCCCCCAGGCATAATTTAATTATATTTGCAGAATGCTTTGACAACATAACTGCTGTGAAAAAATGTGCTCAGATGTAAAGTATACTCACACTTTCCTAGTGCAATAAATTGTTTTCTTTAGCATATAACGTATAAATAGGCCAACTGAAAACAAGAAATAGCCTGTTTTAAACTTCCACCAGGCATGAGGTATTTTTCTAAACTGCTGGTATAAAGTTTTAAAACTTACTGTGATTTTATTTTTTCCGTTATTTCTTAATATCATGGTAGCATCGAAGCACACTACTGTGACTTCAGTATTGTCGGAGTTACTACCATTACGGCCAAACGATACAAAAAACACGGTTCGGTAGCGAGAATTATTTTCCCGCTGTGGTATTTGCAAACTCAAGCATACATGTGTAAGTTTCTTCCCCAGTTTTTGTTGTTTTAGTTAACAAGGTCATGTAACTACATGCGTTGTTATCACGTTAGTCAGAAGGACGGAGCCTTTGAGACGTCTTGAACGCAGGAAAAGAATCACATCTGTGGGCGCGCGTGAGGTTGTGATGGGGCGGGAGGGATACGGTGCAAGAAATTTCAGGTCTAAGAATATAATTCTCACACTGCAACAAACAGTTATGTGGCTTCAAACTAGCCTCAAGGGACCACAGATACGAAGGCATTATACCACGCTTTTGAATAACCACCCCCAACACCAGGAGACTGACAAACTGTACTCACGAGCCATTTCGACTTCGTTATATCTGTGCTTGAGGGGGCGTGGTCATTCCCATCGGACTCAGCCAATGGCGTCGCACTGAAAGGAGCTGGGCGTTCCATTCGGTTAGGAGCAGAAGTTGAACAGCGCGAGCCGAGACAGAGCTCTAGAAAGGCAGATAGGGAGAGGGCAGAGGCAACGGCCCTCTACTGGAGGGGGGGCTTATTATAACAAATATATACACACATGTGTGAACTGTTGGGCTGCACGATAGGTCATATGTGGATAATAGTTATTTTAGAAAAGCATATAACTGCGGCTTTACATTTAAAATGCCTATTTTACTTTTCCTGTTAGACACGTCCGCCTCTATGAATCAGCGCACTTATTTGGGTACGACGTATCTGGACGTTGCTAAAGGCGCGGTTGAGGTCTTTATGAAGGTAAATAATGATTTTACCCCGACCTTTTTCAGCACGTATGCACCTTTGGTTAGCTTAGGGTTCCTTGGGGAAGATAGGTCAAAATTAATATATGTTGTTTTGGTTTTCTTTTTTGACAGCTGCGTGCCCGAGACCCGGCTAGTAGAGGCGACAGGTACATGCTAGTTACATTCGATGATCCACCATACGGAGTGAAGGTAATTAGCAACTGATGCCATTTTTACATTTTACAAGCCGTTCGTATTTTTCTGTCAGTGAGATTTTATTGTCCTTCTGGTTTGTAGTCAGTGTTGGGCGGCTTCCCGGTGGCAAAAAACGGCAAATTAGTGCTCCAAATACTGACAAACGCGGAGCTGCACTGCCTCCGAACATCCAGCAGACATTTTGCTTTTGTGTTGAGAAAAGTCTCGGGCGTTGAGATGGAGGCGTGGAGATTTATTATCAGCTATGACGTCGCTCTTTTTTTAATATAACGACGTGTAGACTGGTCAAAGAGCCCGCCGATCACTTTTTACCCCGCCCATTGCATCAGTCACGCATCGCCATTGGCCAATCTGGGCTGAAAGTTGATAAGCCCTCTTCATCATGAGATTTCTTTTTTTTTTTTTTTTGTATTTTTATGAGTTCGCTCATGTTCTCATTATTCATATTATAATTATTTGTCATCCCGATACGAGTGATCGTCATGTCCTTGCATAGGAGCAGTAGTCTTCATACATGCATAGACACACAGGAACAAATAAATACAACGTGGGAATCACTGCGATCATTTCACGGGGTTAATATCAACAAAGGTTTCCTGACTATAATCTTATGACCTGACACATATCTCCATCTGATCTTTTCATTCTCAATAAAATACAATCCACATGAACCCCTAAGGTCCCTGGTGTGCTTCAGTGGCTGCTCTCTACACTATATTAGGTCTCTCCAGGCTTCCATAACTCTGTCTACAAACCACACTCTACTACTCAACACAGCGTGCAGGGAGCTTACTCCGTCCTGTGCCATCAATGCCTGGAGAAAACAGAATAGTTTGCATGCCTCACTACCAAGAAGCAAAATCCTCAAACCTGAAGAGTTAATAAATGTACAAAAGCATATGTTAGAAAGCATCGCTCAGCTCACAGTGCAATGACAAATTACTTCCACATTTCAGTTCTTTATAATCCTCTCAAAAGCTGAGTTACTGTTTACTCTGAACTGTTCAAACAGCAGCGGTGTTTTTAAAGACACTGAAACCAGAAGTGAGAATCTGAAATCATATCTCATGATAATTAAATGCAAACTATGTGACACAATATTTTATGCTCCATCTTCATATGCCCAGTCATTTGGATAATATACTTAAAATCATTATTTATTATTCAAACTAATTCAAGGTTTCAAAAAAGCTTATTTTAAATTTAAAACATTCAACTCACTACTATTAATCTAGTTATACTTTTGACTACTGTGTAATTACTTTTTCGCCAGTATGCTAGTTTTTATACTTCTGTAACTTTATCGTCTTGTGAAATAGGTTGTAAAATGTAGTGAAGATGGGCAGCCCGGAATTTTGTTTTCCTGTTACAAAATGTCTGTTACAATTAGCAGTTGTTTGGTTTAACCCAGTAAACTTCTTTTCTATTGACATATTTAGAGGTTTAAAAAAATAAAAAAATCATACACAGGCAATATGTGTTAAGTAACACAGCAACAGTTTGGATGGGATAACGGAAGCAAGTACAAAGTGCAAGTTTACACAATATCAGTTTATTTGTACTTATAAAATCATGCATTTTTAAAAATGGCATTTATTTGAGTAAAGCATACAGCTACACTTTCTCATTCATGCATATTAATGTGTCATGTATAAGCGATGCGATGTATGCCATTTGCTGTTACTGATGCTACACCCTGCAGCCATATTATATGCATGAAATATATAGAAGTAATTTTTTTTTGAATATGGTAAAGGATTTTTTGCATTTGCTGTTGCATCACTTAAGTTATGCACTACATAATTTTTCTGACAAACATGCTACAAACTTTACCCAAGTCATTTAGACAGCCGTTAGCACATGATTCTCCTCATGGAGACCTGATATGTTTAATATACTGCTGAGAATATAGCCCAGAAGAAGCGTATAGTATAGCTTTTATTTTGGAAAGATGAGTGATTTCTCGATCAGATATTTTTATTATTTTGTTGTTTCAGCAACATTAAATTTAAAAACTGTACTTCTGAGTTAAAATATATATTTATAATTTTAATAAATGACAAATTAAAAAGGCATCAACATTTTTTTGTATCGAAAAAATATCGAATCGTGACACCAAACCGTTGGTGACACCAGGCTCATTAGTGCAGAACCGTGACACCAAAGTATCGAACCGAACCGTGAATTTTGTGTATCGTTCCACCCCTAATATATATATATATGTGTGTGTGTGTGTGTGTGTGTGTTCGGATGACTGCTACAAAGATGAAGATGGGCTCTTTCTCTTCGTTGACCTTCATATTAAAATAAGGCAAAAAGACCATTTTTAGCTCACGTCTCTCTGTCCACCTCTGCAGCTCATATTGAGGCAAAAGCTCAGGCTTCAGACTCCAGGATGATGTGAATTTTATACTTTTGATAAAATTAAAAAGAAACAACAATTTTTTAAAAACAATATAAAAGTTGTATGTCAATTTAAAGCTCTCACAATCAGTAATCAAAATTAACTGAACAATTAATAACCAAGTGGGATGGTAAAGGTGGCACTAACAGCGGCTCTGTATGATGTCAGTGAGCTCATATCTCCAATCCAGTCTTTAAGTGATGACGTATGAACCCTGCTTCTTTCCAAACTAGGCTGTTGTGTTTTTAACATGTTTTAAACCTTGTATTTGTGAGTGGCGCCCAATCAGAAGAAAGTTGGCTCTAAGGTGGAGGTGGTCTTAAACTGCTTATTTTAGAGCGTGAATGAAATGAAAGCCCCTGCCAAGGACCAGTATAAGTATTTTGAACTCTCTGTTAAAGCTGCATTGATGAATAATCCAAAATTAACTGATCGATTAATAACCAGTTCAGAAGCTCAGAAGCACCCAGGTGCTGAAGTGCTTTTTCCTCATTCTAAAGTCTACCCTCAGCTTCATCCTGCTCCTCCTCTCTTTGTCTTTGTTGCTGTCCCCTCTTTTATTGCTTTCTTTGTGTGCCGAGGATTATGATAAAGGACAAGGTTATAGTGAACGGAGCTAGTCTGATTGCACAGTTACAGAAGCAATAAATTGTTGATGCAGAGGGAGAGAGAGATGAGGTTGGGTGGGAAGAAAGAGAAATATTCTGTAGTCTGAATTATTGAGTGCACACTAAGCCTTACACTTCTGTCAGGGATGATCGGTGTCTGGGTTACTTTGCTGCTAACCCTCTTGAGTGTTTTTAGTGAGGTTTTCTTGTATAACTGCCCAACATTCACCTAATGTCATTCACATAACAGTGTGCTGTGTAGAAATTCCATCTAATTCGTGGCTTTGGAGTCATATCTCATGTTAATCCAAAAATCTACCCACTGGCTTGATTCGAAGCATTCGTGTTCATCCCAGCAATTCAAGCTTCTTTTTTTTATTCTCTCTCTGTCTCTTCCCCTCCCTGTCCTAGCAAAGGAAGTGGTAAGCTTGCAGGTCATCCTTAGATTAAGCATGAATCTGCAGCGGTAAAGCACTTGACCCCGCTGGAGAAAAGTCCAAGAGCAGTTACACACTCACATCCTCTCTTGGCAGTATCTTTCTGTCACGGAGGACAGGCAGCACTGGGAAGTGTATTTTTGGATGCTTGTCATGTATGAAATTAGACCTTTTCTGAAAGGCAACTTGCAGCTCAAACGTGGGTGTGAGTTTCAACAATATTATCTTCTATTTCCAGAACTTCACATTACCTGATCAAATTTTATAGTTACAATTACGCCACGGTGCAAAGACTCAGTGAAACCAAAGGGTCAGTTTGAGCTTTTCAGTGAACACGATTTGCTGTGTTTTTTTTTCTTATAATGACTTGATCTAACTATGTGTGGGTGTGAGTCTTTTTTGGTTAGTGGCTGTTCATGCAGAACAGTGACTTCAGACCTCCTTCGCTACTGCTTGTGCCTTTAACACATGTCTCTGCACTGCTTGTGTTTCAGGCTGGCTGGAAGGAGAACCATGCCACCTTCATGTGCGAGCTGAAGAATCTGCAGGCGTCCGGGCTCACAACATTAGGACACGCTCTTCGCACCGCCTTCGACCTGCTTAACCTCAACCGCCTCATCTCGGGAATCGACAACTACGGGCAGGTGTGAAAGGTTTCAGAGTTATTGAAACGGGAACTTGTTTCATTGTTTGTTATGGATGTTAACACAACACTGCATAGTTACTTTTTAAGCCCTTTTTTCGAGCATCCATGTTCCCCACAGATTCATTCATAGGGAGAGCCACAGTATGCATGAGCAAAGTCGCACTTCACGTTGTATACATCAAGTCTAGTAAAGCAAAATCCCAACATTTGGCACTCTTTCCCTTTGTCACCACAATGTTATGTTTACATGATCTGCAAAAGTGGCCCAGATTATTGTGTGTAGTGTGAGGTTTATTTTCCTTGTTCCTCTTTGTGTATAGTTTTCAGTTACTTGCAATCTGTTTGTGATAATATGGCAACAAAATGTGACAAGTCAGGAAAAATCCCAAATCTGTTAGTGCTACATACTCAGAAATTTACAATAACTACGCATTCATGTCCTCAATCTTAAATAGAAATTCAGAAACAGTGGTGTAAGTTTTGCAGGATGGTGATTTATCTGCAGAGTAATACAGGTGTAGAGCAACTTTGCTTTTATATCGGAATATACCTTATAGCTGGCAACCATTTGAGGCAAGTCTCCTATTGTAAAGAGACTTGTCACAGTAGGGTTGCGTAGACAGATTCACACTGATTGCAATGTGTTGGCACTTTGTCTGCATTTATAAATTAGACAGCAGTTATTTGTGAAGCTTCCACAGTGTGGCTGAGAGCGATTGCAGTCGGTCTCAATCAGATCCTGATGGTTTTGAGACAGGTACCCCACCAGGTGACTTATGCAATTTACCTGTGATAAAAAAGAAGTTGCTACAACTACTTGCAGTTTTTTTCCAAAAGCAAAAATGTTGAGTGCAATCATCAGGCAACCAACTGTTTTTTTTCCTATTCACAAGGAGGTTGCTGTCCTACTTTTACTTTCATGTGAATGAGCCGTTAATCATGAGTCTGAAATTACCTCACTCAACAGTACTGAGTGTCTCACCACAGGAATCTTGTGTAGTGGGGCTGACTGATGCAGTTAAAGTTGCCCATTAGTGCATGACGTCTTGGAGTTTGGGATGAAATCTGACTGAGTGAAGCCATTTACTGTATATCACATTTCCACCATCCTGTGCTCCGACTCTAATTCTGCACAGACATTCATCAAAAAAATTGTCTCTCTTTCTTCTCATCCTCTCTGTCACCTGCTCACATACTGGCTCCCACTGAATTTCAGCCTATAAATGAAACCAGAAACACAGGACTGTGACCAGATCACACTGGAATCTGTTACTGTTTGCTAGGGGAGAAAAAATCAGGACAACATAGTCAGTAGTCTATGTCATAGTCATAGTCAATATTTTGCGTGGCAATATTGTAACAATACTAGACACCAAATATTGATATTTTATTAAGTAAAATGTGATATTTTTGATATATAATAGATATCATACCATGGAATATCAATATTTGCCTAATAGGAGGCAACTTTTCTGCAAACAGTTGCAGGCTGACTGATTGCAGTCGCTCTCAGAGACACTGTCATAGGTTTGCAAATAATTGCTGTCTAGTTTATAAATGCAGTGAGATAATACGTTGTCATTAGTCGGATTGAATCTTGGTAAATGAGCACAATTCGAGGGGACTCGACTCAACTGGCTGTATTCTGGTTATCTTCAAATAGAACAGGAACGTTTCTGAGTGCAAATTATATAAATGAATTTCTGTCTGTTTAGAAAGGAACATATGTGGGATTTATGACACTTTATTACAGGTAATGGTTGTATTATCAGAAACATATTGGATGTATTCGACACCTTGACTCTGTCTTATGGCAACATTTATGGCAGGTTTTAGTGACAGTGTTGGTGTGCTCGACAGTCTCATTTTACACCATGCCTCATATTATCATGTAGGAAATGTTTTAAACCTATTGCACTCTGGAACCTGAATTTATTAAGCACCGGAGACATGCACAGTCTTCATCTTGTGCATTCCTACTGTTTAATGCATCTGCATGCAGTTCACAGCTTTTGTGGAGTTGAAGGTGGAAAATGGATTCACACATTCTGCCCTTGTGTGATTGGTTTAAACTGTTAGTCAGTGATATAAATGCATTGTCTTAAAAAGAAATCATGGGACACAATAGTGCTTTTAACACACTGATGTAGTTTTGAATTGATTTTACCCTGTATGTTTTTTGATGTTTTAATTTAGGTTTGCTTGTTTAAGCTGTTCATGTACTAATCAGGTGACCAAGGGCAGGTCTACCAGAATAATGTGAAAGGAGACGTGGATTTTACTCATTTTAACTTTTAAAGAAAAGTACAAAAATAAATAGCGGAGACTGGTATGTGTTTATAACCGAGACATTTTATGGCTAAAGCCAAATTAAGACTTAAGTTGGAGTAAATGTAACTGAAGTAATAAGAGGAAGACATCATGTACCTGGAGACAACACGGAGAATAGAGACTTTTGCCTAATCCACTCGACCTCGCTTCAGTTAACCCAGTCATCTTCTCGTCAAGTACATCTTTTTTCTAAACCCCTGCTCTAAGGCACAGATGGATTACTACGCTCGGGCAGTGACCCGAGTTCTGTGCATCAGGAGCGTTTAAATCTACTTAAGCATTCTCTGTGTGTTTGAATTAGATGAGGCTGACCTCTGCAGCGCAGTACTAAAGGCCTCTGTCCTTATTAACAAGGAACACACGGACGCTTTGCACCTTACAGATTCACCCACACACAAAGAAAAAGATTACATGTAGTTTCTGTGGGATGGTAATTCCATAATGATTTCTGCATCTTAGTAGATGTCTGTTTAAACGGTATACCAGCATTTTGCAATTAGTCGAAGCGTGCAACGTGTAACGGTTGTGCTATTAGGTTCACATGTGTTACCAATTTTTTGATCCTTTTCATTCACAGAGCCCTGAACAGTGAGTTGGAATGCAAAGAAAAAAAAAGAAGTCAGAGTAGTGAAAATAAATGGCCTCAGTGTTTTTTTCCATTTAGTATTGAACTTGGAATTAATTGCTGAATGTTATCGTTTCCCTCTCAGGGCCGCAACCCATTCTTCCTTGAGCCATCTGTGATCATCACCATCACTGATGGGAACAAGCTCACGCACAGCTCGGGAGTGCCAGATGAGGTGAGAGCACAAACAAATGCAGTGGCACTAGCATGTAGTATTTATACAATGATTCCAGCTGGGTCTGTTGTACACACATGTCATACATTGAGTTGCTGAAGCCATCTGAGGGTTAAGATCTGTAAAACGAGCAACCTTTTGCATTTCCACTTATTAACTTGCTCTCCTACTTCATTCTTGTCTGCTGTGTAGCTGCACCTGCCTCTGAATTCTCCCTTGGCTGGCAGCGAGCTGACCAAAGAGCCTTTTCGCTGGGACCAGCGTCTGTTTGCATTGGTACTGAGGCTGCCAGGAGCAGCTACACCAGATAATGAGCAACTTGGTAGTGTCCCCACGGATGAGTCTGCAATCACCCAGATGTGTGAAGTTACTGGAGGTTTGTCATGTTTTCCTATTTTCATTCATTCACCGTGTGTCTGCAGTCTTTGGGGTAGAGTCCACAATAAATTCTCTTATGCCTGATCGGTGTGTCTCGCCTTTTCCGCTCAGGGCGATCATATTGCGTGCGAACACAGAGGATGTTGAACCAGTGTCTGGAGTCTCTGGTCCAAAAGGTTCAAAGCGGTGTTGTCATTAATTTTGAAAAAACCGGGCCAGATCCGCCTCCAATTGGGGAAGGTGAGTGATCAGAACGCAGCGACCATTAAAAGTTCAAATCCCAGAATGAGGTTTTTCACCTGTTTAAACTTTAAACACAGTAAATGAAATTAAAGGAGAACTGAGTGCATTTTCTAGTTTGGCCAAGTACTTAATGATTAGTTATTTGGATAAATAAACCTTTGATTTGATATGTTTAAGTTGCATTTTATTTAAAATTATCGCTTCATGTTTAAGAGGGCAAAGAATACGTTTTTGAGTGAAAGAGAAACTAGAGATTCCTTGTTGAATGTAGTTTGGATGAATGTGATCAACTAAAATAAAATTCTGTTCTTTCCCATTTGCATATTTTGTTATTCCAGATAATTCTGTGGACTCAAGTCGGCCTGTGTCATCCTTCGGCCCACAGCCATGGCACAGCTGCCACAAACTCATTTACGTGCGACCAAACCCAAAGACTGGGGTGCCAGTCGGGCATTGGCCCATACCAGAGTCCTTCTGGCCGGACCAGAACTCTCCAACCCTAGTGAGCAGAGAAGCTTCAAAATACCTCAGCAACCTTCTTAGTCTGTCTTTCAGATTACATCTTATAGTGTTTGATTACATGTCAATATTTGTATTGTGTAGCTTTATGGACACGCAAACTCTCTTACTTCCTTTCTCTTTTATTGGCACCAGTTTTTTTCTGTAACACCTTTTAGTAACTGTCCAGTATAATTGCGATTACCTGTAAAACTTAATGCTTTGTTATATACTGCTGTCATAAGGACGTCAGAGGATTGTGTATCAAAGACAAACACACCTAACAGTTTGCTCATTTCCATCTGCTGCTCACAGCCACCTCGCACTGCTCACCCCGTGGTGCGTTTCTCTTGCGTGGACTGTGAACCCATGGTGATCGACAAGCTTCCCTTCGACAAGTATGAACTGGAGCCCTCTCCGCTCACCCAGTACATCCTGGAAAGGAAGTCCCCACACATGTGCTGGCAGGTAGAGTAAATGCTTCCACTAACGCTCATCGCCTTGTTTACAAAGTCACAGGTGTTGCCTCGGGGACTTTCTAGAAACCCAGACATAATGAAGTTACTTGCTAAATTCATCATAGCATTTCACCTTTTTTGGGCTGTCGTGAAGTAGTTGTTGGTCACGCCATTAAAGCTCTGTGAATACAGCTTGGCTTCATTTTTAGCAGCTCTGCTTTACCTTCATGTTTTCTCTTGCTGTCCTCAGGTGTTTGTCAGCAGCAGCGGGAAGCAGAATGACCTGGGGCATCCTTTTGGCTACCTTAAAGCCAGCACCACTCTCACCTGTGTTAATCTGTTTGTTATGCCGTACAACTACCCAGTCCTTCTCCCACTCCTCGGTGAGACATATTGTAGTAAATTTGTCTTTAGGGTTGCCTAAAAAAACAAAACTACAACTTCTGGGTCAGTAGGCCTGAGCTGACATTATATTTAAAAGCTCTCCTTTTCTGGGACACCTCATCATCTCCAGTCATGACAAGTATCAGTCTAACAACACAGAACATCATTAAAAGGTTTATCTTTAACAATTCTGTACAAGACATGAATATTGTCTGGGTATTTATGTGTGTTTCAAAGCTTGTTGACTTACCATCATCATCCTCAGTACTGATGCATGTGGATCAGTGGGTCTGCTGCAGCTGGACACTGATGCAGATGCTATAATCTCTCAGACTAACCCACTGCTCATTTTCTCCTTCTCCCTGCAGACGATTTTTTCAAAGTGCACAAACTAAAACCAAACCTTAAGTGGCGACAGGCCTTTGAGATGTACCTGAAGACGATGCCTCCATACTACCTCTTGGTAAATGAATGCAACATCTTTAATGCTGCCTTTAGTTTAAATGGATTTATGTTTTTCTTGTAACTAACATCTTAAATTCTGACAGCCCTTGAAAAAGGCACTGAGGATGATGGGTGCACCTAACCTTATCGCGGACACCATGGACTGCGGACTGAGTTACAGCGTCATTTCTTACCTGAAGAAGCTCAGCCAGCAGGTAAGTCACTTTCAGGCAGTAAAACAGGTTTTGTGGTGCTTATTGATCGTGATGAAATGTAGAGATCAGACTACACGACACAAGCGCTGAGGAGACTGAACTGAAACTATAAACTTGTCAAAGACAACGAGCACTGATGCTGTGTGAGGCCTCCGGTTCCATCAAAGGCTTCTCATCTTATTTCTTCTGTTAGTTTGAAGAGTATGTTAAGCATCAAGCAGCGGAGTCTAAGTGGAAGTATTATTCAAGTCATAGTTTGGAAACTCATGCACACTGACTGGATATTTTCAGGAGTGACAGTCTCACTATCTGCTGCAGATACAGGTGCTGACTATACAGCTATGAGTCCTGTGCAGCCATCATTTAACTATCAAGTGTGGAGCTAAAAGAGTTTCTACATGAGTATATAAAGTCTTTATAAATACTTGTCTTATTTTTTAATATGATTATCTGTGGCTGGAATGATCTGTATGAAAGACTGCCAAGAAACAGAGTGGAGAGATGTCTTCCAAATTATATTTCACTCATTTCACTTTGCTTGTTATCCTCATACTGAGATGTTGTTTTGTTGGGTCGAAGGCAAAAATGGAGTCAGATCGTCTGATTGTGTCGGTGGGGAAAAAGGCTCCGCAGGAAACCGGCATAAAGGTGAAGAACCACTCCAGCTCGCTTTCTCTAGCCCACCGGCGAGACTTTAAGCAGCTGCTGCAGGGAATCACGGGGGAGGGGCCCCTTCGCCTGCCGGACATTAATTTCAAAGAGTTTGCCGGTTTCCAGATCGTCCTGCTCAACAAGGTAGGTTTAGGACAGTCGGACACTTTGTGCAGTGTGTGGCATACTTTCTGTCAGCGGAGAGGGAAAACACAGCGTGTACAGTATTTGGTAGGATTCTTTCTGACTAGATGTGTTTGCAGGATGTAAAGCCTCAAGCTTATCGGAATGCCTACGACATCCCAAGACGGAACCTCCTGGATCAGCTCACACGAATGCGCTCCAATTTGCTGCGGACGTCACTAAAACTGATCCGAGGGCAAGATGAAGGTAAGTCAATACGCAGTGTGTTGCTAGTGGGAGGCAACAACTTAATGAGCTTGCATCATGCATTTCTTCAGCTGGAATCCGGTGTAGTTACTACAACATTTCATGAAATCATCGTTTTGTGGTTGTTAGATTCCCTGCACAGTATTCCAGTGGCTCAGATGGGAAACTATCAGGAGTACCTAAAAATGATGCCGTCTCCTTTGAGAGAGATTGACCCCGATCAGCCTAAACGGCTGCACACATTTGGGAATCCTTTCAAGCAGGATAAGAAGGTAATGCAGTTTAGCTGCACACAGATGTCTTCACTCCTTATCGCGCCCTTACATTGTGTAACAGTTTCCTCTCTCTGTCTGTTATTCCCAGGGGATGATGATCGATGAGGCGGATGAGTTTGTAGCAGGCCCTCAAAATAAGAAGAGAGGAAATTCCAGTGACTCCAATTTGGGAGCTACTGTGAAGAGAAGGCGGAGCATGTCACCGTTGCTGCGGCGGCCGCAGACACCATCAGGAAACACCAACCATGTGGTGATTGGGAAGAACCTAGCAGGGATTCAGGGGCAGCAGAACCTCCTCAAACCGGTTCCACAGAACAAAGGTAAGATGCGAAGGTAATAACAAAGTATGCTCGAAGGTGGTGAATATGAGGCTCACGCTGTTCATTGTTGCATCATCAGGAGTGGATAGCAGCAACATGGTGGTCACAGAGAGTAATGGCGACAGCGCTCTCGGGCTCGACTCTGGGGAAATCTGGCCTGCAGAGATGGAAACTGAGGCAGGGAATACATCCTCACCGAGTTTAGAGGAGAACGTTGGGACAGGAGCAGCAGTTCGCGGGGAGGACCTCGGTACGATGGAGGAGAGGCTGGTGGAAGATCATCTAAATGAGCAGCTGCTGGAGGAGAAGCACAACTGTGAACGCCTGAGTCCACAGAGCCAGCTGGATGGCGCTGACGCTGAGCCGGCAGTGCCTGAGATCATTTTCATAGCTCCACTAGACGGCAACCTGGCAGAGCTGCGGACGCGGGTCATCAAGGAGGTCCGCAAACCCGGACAAAGTGAGTGCATTTTTGTTTTTCAACAATATCATAATTAAAGATCTTTACACAAAGAGTGCTTTGCAAAAAAAACAACAACACAAAATTCAGAATTTTTCAGCTCTCGCATTGACGTGTAACGCAAGCGTTACGATTTTATGAAAAGTTTCCATCAAACCACGATGAGCTGGTCCTGATGTTTCACAACAAGAAAAGGAAGAAACAGATTCTCAGTTCATCCAATTCTCCAGGGTTCGATCCAGGAGATGAAACTGCATCACGGCCGCTTTTGTACATATTTCAGGGCGTCAGTGGGCAGTTTGATCTCTTGTTAGCAGAGCTGGGAGCTGTGAAATCATTTCAGAGAGCTAACTGACCTGAAGCAGCATCTAGCTGTGTGTCTGAATAATATTATTTTAGTAGTTGTATATGTGTGTTACGAGGTCACTTGTTACCAAATGCAGTGGCCTGATTAGTCACATCTGTTTATTTGCAAAAAATCTGAAAATTCAAGCTTGATTGGAAAAAATGCCAAAAATTATCCAGCAAAATTATGTGGTCTGTGTGAACGGCTACATTAAGAATTGGTGAGTCTCTAAAACATATTTTTCCAGGCCTTCATATTAATAATAGCCAAAAGAAAGACTGTCAATATGAAAAGAAGCAGAAGCAAAACACAGAACTAAGATTGATGCGTGACAGTCTGTATAGTTTATTATAAAAAAGTGCAAGTTTTAAAAAGAAATATTTAAATTCAAATAAAAATAATAAATTTCAAGTGCATGAAACACGGACTTATTCAGACGACGTTGGAGAAAGTTCAAAAGAGTTCCTCGAACCTTTTCAGATTTTTTGTTTGCTTAAAATATTTGTGTTAGTGTTTCTAGTCAACGGTCGGACATTCTGGACAATATTGTGATTTAAATGATCACAGTGGATTTTATTTGTTTTTTTGGTCTTTTTCAGCTTTATTGACAGATACAGTGAAGAAATGACAGGAAGGGACAGCAAAGAGAGAGAGGCAGGGGAAGACACGTGGCAAAGGGCCGCGGGTCAGACTCGAACCCGCGGCCTGCTCAACACACTGAGCTAAACCGGCGCCCGATCACAGTGAATTTATTGAACTTGAAAACATTGTCCTTTCAACAGTGAATTAGTATGCATTATACTTCACTGAAAAGTAAATAAATGTGAACTGAACCAAACATACCGAGGTTATCAGGAAGTTGGTCCACTGAAAGGCGAGCGCATCGTAGCCAAACATAGCAGCATTCGTCCCATAATGTTTAAATCTTGCCACAGTGAGACAGTCTTCTTTAGCTGTTTACATTTAATACTTATTAATCACTCTAAGGTAATCTACGGTTCATATTCATCATCTGATTATGAGTTCCAGCACAAGCTGATTTCTAGTCATCTGCTGAGATTTCAGGGTCCTGATTTTCATCCCCATGCATATATTTTTTTATGTGAACTCCCAGATGAAGATGCTCTAAAAAGGTAATTAGACTGAGTGATGCACTTTCTAAAACAGTCCTTGGTCATTGTTGGTGGAGGAATTATGCTGCTGTGCCTTTAAAATGTTCTTTTAAGATAAAATGTTTCTCTTTAGTTCAAAGTTCGGATGAAACGGATGTTAAACCTCTTCAAGCACATGAAAACTCTTTTCTCCTTGGGCGTCTGTTAGAGTTATTGCCAGATGTCGTCTTTATGGGGGTAAAGTTAAAGGTCAAAGCTTGACTGTCCTTAACGCTTGATCATATCACACTTTCACATGTTTTAAAATTGGATTAGTTTTCTGATTTTTAGCTTTTTTTCATTACATCAGAGAAGAGGTAGCTGTAGCCCATTTACAGTCTATGTGCACCCAATGAGGAACATTGCAGTATTATTATTTTTAAATAAAACATAATGGATCTGTCAGCTGTGTGGCCAGTAATACAACACTAACAATACGTTTACACATTTTTAAAAACTTTTTTTCATATAAATCCCAAATTGTTTTTGATTTCTGAGCTAAATCAGTCAGAGGTTGCAGAGAAATGTAAAATACTGATTCATTTTATTTCTAATTTGGGGACGTACTGTGAACATTTGAACCGCTTCCTTGCCTTGTGCCTTTTCTCAGACTATGATGCAATACTCAGACTACTGCAGCAGGTGAAAGGCCCGCCAAACGTACAGAGGTACTTCATCCAGCACGCCATCAAAGAAGCAATGAGGTAAGAAACTGAGCGGCTTTGAATCTTTTGAAATCCCCGGACAAGCCTGTTAAACAGCACGTCGCTGCACTGACATACAGTGAGTTCAGTGTTTCTGAGGCACTACGGCTTCAATGGCATTCATTTCATAGCCCTTTGAATCGAATTCACCTGCAGCGCTCTGATAAAGTTTGAGGTTCCCACTGCAGTAAGCTGGAAAAGGAAATCAAATCGATAGTGTGAGCTCCCACCAGCATTACAACTGCACTTGTTCCAAACACCTTGCCGCAGTTCATCTGTGGATTCATCTGTTCTGTCTCTTCTTACACTGATTTCATGTGAGGTTGATGTCGCACGACTCCTTGTTCTTCCTGTAATTGAAAAGTCGTCGCTGTGATCCAAAGTAACATCTTAACATGTCCCGAACAGGTTCAAGAAGCGAGTACTGATCCAGCAGCTGGAGAACGCCCTCACGGAGCTGGAGGAGAAGCAAACAACACCACAGCTTCCCAATGACCATTGCAGGTAGTGACAAAGCTACTTTTGCTTAAATTTTCTTGCCGGCTGAACATCGCCACCCGAAGAGAGGCATCCTTCTAGACCAAGCCTCGGAAATTCCGATTTGGAAACCAGCTTGGGAGAGGAACAAATGCACTGATAGTCCCTGTGCTGTACGTCACATCCTGTTAGAGGCAGAGGGCTTATTCAGAGGAGGGGCCTTGGGGAGCAGCTCCACTGGGGATGAGTACAGAGACTTTAAAAATAATCCTCTGACAGATGCCTTAAACACCCATATGGCTTTTGTCTGTATGGGGACGTTGCTCAGAAACCACACATACACTCCATTAGACAGATAACACAGTAAGCCAACAGAGCAATGGATAGACTGGCTTATTGGGATAGTTATGCTAAAAAATAAAAAACAAAACAAAACAGGCCCTTCTTCAGCTGGTCTGAAAAGTGTTTTATGGGTAATAAAATGTGCATTCATGAAAATTCATGGATGGAAGGAGAAATACTGTCCAGAAGCAAGACAAACCCTCATATTGTTTTGTGTTAAATCTGCAACGGGATGCACTTTGTTGTCCATGTTACTGTTGATCAATATGCCCCCATTATTGCTGGTTGCACTGGCATCAGAGGTGGGCAATATGGGAATAAGACTATGAGTGCCATAGTAGCAGAAGTAACAGACAACAGAGATTTGAGACGTCCAAACCTTCAGCATCAGAATCTGTGAGATGTCGGCTTTCAGCCCCGGCGGCGTGTCCGTGCCATCGGCTGAACAATCCGCGCTTCGTGCAGAATCCGTTTACCTGCTCTCATTTGCTGTTTTAGCTGTTTGGTGGTTGCTGAAATAATTTTGTGAGCTTTAACCGGAGATTCTGACATTGCTGGCAAAATACATTTATATTTAAAAATCAATTCAGGATTTAATGAATCGATAACACGTTATTCAAGCTAAAATCGATTTGAATCAGAAAAGCGAGTTTTTTAAACCCACCCCTAGTAGCGATATAGAGTCGCTTTTCTGGGAATGCATTAGAAATGTGTGTTTATGGCTAAATCAGTCAGCAGGCTGCAAACAAGGCTGCACCTTATGGAAAATACTGTGTTCAGTATTGGTGTGTAATAGATTTGAGTCAGTATAGCAAACTCATAGTGTGAATGTGACCATATTGCCCAACCCCAAACAGCATTAAATAAGACTTCACATATGCCTCACTCATGGCAGCTCCCAACATGTTCTGAACCCACAACCAGCTCCAACCTTTTGAAGCGTGACTTTGAAGGACAGCATCAAGTAGCCGAATCAGTGTTTTTTTGTAATAGTTGCACAGAAGCAGCAGTGTTTACTGGTTAAGTGACCGAGGAGCTTTCTTCCTCTCACCTGCCATCACAGCAATACAACATGGGTCACTCCTGCAACTCCACAGGCGCACACTCACGCCCGAGTCATCCTCACACCTCAAACGCTGCAGCGATTCCCCAGCGTAACGCAGTTTTGCATCCAGCAGTCGCCTTTTTGTTGAAGTTGAACCTTTTGCATTTCTCCTCTGCTGCTTTTCAGATGAACCCGGCGTCAGCGCTCCTCCTGAGTTCTCCTTGTTTTTACAACAGATGTACACTACTTTTTAATGTTCATAGGGAATAGAGATTATTTTTGTGAAATTGCTTATTTCAGAGTCTAAGAAATATTTTGAAAGTCAAATGTTCAAAGCCATTTTTGTAAACTGTTAAAATACATATAAAAAGTGGAAAGTTTTATGAACCTACTTCTTTTTTTATCAAAACAAAAAAAAAAAAAAAAATGATAAAAATTAAACCACGGGTAGAACGGTGTTTTGTGTGTCAGACTGTGTAGTTCTAACTTGAAGTTGGTGTTTTTTTAAAAGACTTAAACAGTTGATGAGCACACAGCTCGCTTACTTTCATCTTTTTTATTCAAGCAGTTTCGGTTTAACCTCCATAAAGTCTCTAGAGTCTGTGTTTCTTTTGTAAAGCCTCAATTTTAAACTGAGCAAATGCTGCAGACACAACACTTTCAGTGTGTGTCTGACAGAGTGATGGAGTTGTGGAGCAGAGCTCTGCGACGGCAGCTGGACCTATTTTCTTGGTGACCCTTTGTCATTGATTACAACAAATTGTAATTTTACAAAAGCCTGCAAACGCTGGAATTGCATTTACACTCAGCAGCCACTTTATTAGGCACACCTGTTCAACTGCTTGCTATTGGAGATGTCTTGCGAGCCAATCACACATCAGCAACTCTGCGAATTTAAGCATGTAGACGTGGTTGAAATGACCTCCAGCTTTATGATGCCGCTCATAAACTTGATCCCTGTGTACTTAGTGCAGCTCTGCACATCACCCTTGTTCTTGAAAATTGCACCAGTACATCTCCGAAATCTTAATTTTTAAATTACTTGATTCTTATGTTTTAATATTAAATACACATTAGTGAAACAAACATTTAATATGTACTTTTTCTCCATTTCTGTTCTACATGGTTTGTTAGTTTGCTCCATTTTAACCCAGACTGGAACTTTAGCCTTGACTGCCACCTAGTGTCAATCATAAGCAGCTGCAGGTTTTTTGGATCAGGAGGGTTTTTTTTGTGATGCAGCAGTCCTGCATCAAGGTCACAGGTACAGCACAGCTCTGCAGACTGTCACTATAGTGATTTAACTTTTAAAGCCATGCGTACCAACCATTTACCATTTCTTACCAACTTCTTCCTGCATAAAAAGATTACCTGGAAAATAAATAGTCCACTTAGTTTTGTCTGACAAAAGCAATATTCCAGCCCAAGTACAACAAAAAAGAAGATCTGGACACTTTGTAAAATCAGTATGCCTTTTATTAAATTAAAAACAATCTGTTGAATATTGACGAAATGTAAAAGAGAAATAAAATCCACTCTAATGTACCAGTAATGGCTAGTCTGCCTTATAGTGTTCACAGTCTCATTATAATAGCGCTCTAATATCGCCCATCCCAGTGTTCACCTCATTTCCTGTGACTTAAAAACCATTTTGCTCACATACAGAGTGTACAGATCATTTATGCTTCCTGGAAATAATAAAGCAAATATTAGAGTCCACTGATTAATCTCATTTTAGTTGACAAAGTTTTCAGTTGCTGACGTGTGTTTGAAACGAAACAGCAACCAAAGCAGGCTTTGTTTGCAGTGTGTATCTGTATCTTCATACAAAAGATATACAAAGGAGAGTAATATCCCAGTTCAGTTCAGAAGGGATCAAAGGGGTACATGTCTCAGTATTTTAAGACTCCAAAGCGTTTACATACTGTATATACAAACAAGTCTGCTTGGAAATAATAAAAACAAAAACTGAGGGGTTGGCACAGTCAGTGTTGAATATGGTGGCAACCACGTTATGGACAGAGATGCATGTTCAGACAGCATTATTAGTTTATTTACAAAAAAATAAAGAAAAGTTAAATAGGAGAAAGATGAATTCTGACACGTTCTCCCTCCTTCTGTCTAAAAAAAAAACAAATCTTATCTGACAATGACCGTGTTACAGACAGGAAAAGGCCAGTCTCAGTGCAAATGCTCCAGCTTGCGTAACCGTATGGGGTTGGGCAGAGCTTGTTGGTTGCGTACAGAAGAGGGCTCCTCCTCTGGTGTGCGGAATAGCACCCGACCCCTGTGATTGAAAAGGTAGAAGGATGGGTGGTTCCTCAGAGTGTCAAAAGTCCTGGGGAAAGAAAAAAAAATAGAAAAACGTCTTAAACACTGGCACCAAGAGGCAGGAAGTTATGGAGATTGATTACATTTTTTAAATTATATAATCCACTCCTGTAGAAGAGAAGGGACAGAAAAGTGTGTTTACATTCCAATGGTCCCTGATACAGAGTTAGAATAAAGAAACAAACCAATGTTAACAGCCACTGGAATCATCAGTGTTGCCGTGTGGACAACTCAGTGTCCAGTCATCAGATGAGGCATTTTTCAGGTAAAATTGAAAGTTTCAGGGGAGAATTGCATCAACTGTGTAACATTCAAGCTGTGATTTCTCATGTGGGATGCTTTGCTTGCCGATTTGCATCTACAGGGTTCACTTATTAAATCTAGAAGTGGCTACACTCCCGCTGTAAAAACTTTGCCTATATTTTGGGTTTAGCACTTAAACTAACCAGTTAGCAGATCACAACATGAACAAGTCACTTATGCTTGGCTTGCTTACCGCCTTACTTCTTTAAAACATCTTTTTAATTCTTATGTACGACTGCTTAGTTTATACAATGTTGCTGCTGCAGTTGCCTCCAAATCACTTTATTCATTCTTTTATCTGATCTGATAAAACCTCACTGATGGATTAAAGGTGATCAAGCAGGGATGGGAAACATGAGGCCCAGGTACCAGATTCAGCCTGGCAAGGATTCCGACCGGGCCCACTCCATGCCTTTGAAAAATGTAAACAAGGGTATAGAGCCTGGGCTTAACAGTATTTTCATGAATTTGACAGCTTTTCCTATTGATAAACACCTCACCTACCTACCTACAGCCATACATACAATGCCAAAGTAATGAATATATAAACAAATAAATGACAGAAAAGTTCCTGTGTTTCACTATGTACTACAGAAATGTGTGTTTTGTTTGTAATCTTACACAGTTCTTACAGTTTAAGCACTAAGACTCATATTAATCAATGCTAAAAATTATTGAATTAATAATTTTAGTCATTTGTAACAGTATGATACTAGACAGGCACACGGCTCCTCCCTTCACTAACAGCTGAAGTAGTCAATGTTCATAACACTGAACAACAGAGTGAAGCTCCAGCCAAAACACCATCTTGTCACCTGCAGCTGTAGTTATAATAATGTCACACTGTGACCCAAAGTTCTTCTGTCAACCCAGCAACCTTTCATTTACTTTCACGTATAGCCCCCATTCTTTGGCTTTGCTTTGAATACGTTTTCAGTCTTAGGAGGCTCTCAACACACTAGCTGTGTGATGTAAAGCTGCATCTGTGGGATTCGAGGTGAACAGCTTCACAGTAATATTACTATAAATGTCGCTGAGGTGGTGAGCCATGAGCTTCCCCTGTGACAGAGGACAAAAAACAACTGCACTGCCGAGGGAGTGGAGGTGTGCCAAGGTGAAGTCAGCTTACTTGTTTTTCAGCTCTGAGGAAGCATCCATATCTTTGAACTCTCCAGCGATGTGGACAATACCGTAACAGGTCATGATAAATGACAACAAAGTCTGCAGTACAATCTGGAAACACAAAGAAGGAAAACGCTTGGTAAAGCAAAAAGAAAAAAAAAGGAAAGTCTTTGAAATCAGGAAGAAGGCTGAAAGTAAGGATAAAAGTTACTCACATCAATTGGTAGCGTCTCATGCTCCTTCTCTGTAAGTCGCATGTATGATCGATCTGATGGGAGAAACATGTTTGAGCTAATGCAGTTAAAATGAACACCTCACACAAACAGTGCTAATTAGCCAACTCTAAAAAGGGCTCCAAAAGAAATCCTCTTTAAATGCCATTACTCTAAATGGCTGTCTACCGCTAGCACTGACTCTTTCGGGCTGCACTGCAAGGAAAAGATTTCAATCGCAACCACTGCGCCCCATTCAAAGCGGAGCAGAGCCCACCTAGCATGATGTTAGCTAGCCAAAAGGCCCGAGCTGCTGTTTTGTCGAGCTACCCGGTGATACCGGAGACAGTCTGCATTAAATACAGCTACAGAGACGTGTCTTTCGCTCTGTGCAATGAAACTCACGTTGTGCCGCTGAGAAAGCCGCATGAGCTAAGGAGAAAAGTCCGATGCCGACAACACCTTTCCAAAACGACGAAGCCATCTTGAACCGAAGCGAAGAGGAACTGCGCGTACGGTGTCGTAAAACGGTGTCGTAAACAGCCGCACACATGGCGGTGTAAAAAAAACACCCTATTAATAAGTGGGAAATTACATATTAAGGGAAATACATATTAATAGGTTATATATAAATATACATGAATATACACAGACTGAATGGTTTAATTTGACTACTTTATTGGTCGCGAATTGGCCCTTCCCCATTTGTGCTCTTACTTTGAAGGGATGAGCTAATATCCGCTCTAGCCTCTGCCCTTTCCGGTTAGCTCGCATAGAGCTTTCATATGCCATATCATCCATAACTTATTAAATCTCTTTGAAACATTTACTCACTCGACAGTACTATTTAAAACAAACACAAACATGGCAGAAGCCATTCAAAAGAAGCTGAAGGTGGAAGTGGAGAAATACGCGCAGATGCAGAAAGGTGGGTGCTAGCTAGCCCTGCGTGGTTTCTCCTAGTGTGACATGATGCATTGAGCTAACTGACCATATTAGGAAAGGTAGATATACATTAAAGTGTGTCGTTATAACTGCCGTATTCATTTGAATTATAGTAGCAACAATACTTTCGCTGTAATTAAAATGTAACCAGTTCCTCCCCTGATTAGCTAACTGTGTATTGTTCAGAGGTTAGCAAGAGCATGTCAGCCAGACAGAAGCTCGAGACGCAGCTGACAGAGAACAACATTGTTAAAGAGGTAACTATGATCGCTTATTTGCTATTTTATTCACTGATAGCACCATTGGCAGACCATTTGTTTCTATGTTGCGGTATGTGTTGTGTTCTGTAGTAAACACGAGATCTCATTTTGTCTTTCCAGGAGCTTGATCTGCTGGACAGCTCAAACACCGTTTATAAGCTCATTGGTCCTGTATTAGTGAAGCAGGACCTAGATGAGGCAAAAGCTACAGTAGCCAAAAGGCTGGAGTACATCAACGGAGAAATGTAAGCCATTTCACCCACACCAATGTGTGAAGACACCTTCACAGTGCTATGGGAATACATGAGGTTTTGGTCACTGGGGATCAATTATGATTCAAAACACCCTCTGTGAGTTGACTAAGTGTAGGTGTTGTAATGATGGGGGAGAGGTGGAGCGGGCGCACACCGTCTATATCGGGGGTGGGCAATGATTTTTGAGAACATGAGAAGCTGGGACTGTTTTGCTTATAAAGAAGTTAAAATTAATATTGAATTCATATTTAGCACATCTGAGTTCAGCTTATTGGTGCAATCCTCCACAACAGTCCCGGGTTCTTGGGAAAATTAATTGGCCTCCTCTGGTCTATAACTGAGACTCAGCAGTATTGCAGAATTTGTGACATTCAGAGAGTTCAATTTAAACAAACAAACAAAAAAACTACAGTCAAGTCCAAGAGCTCAGATTCACTGGTGATTGCACACAAGTAAAAAGACAAGCAGCGCCATCACCCATGCAGCAGTAATTTAAGGTGTTATTGTAAAGGTTGCTTTGCAGTCAGTCTTGGACACATGCATGACTTCCTGAAATCAGCTGTCATGTCGTTTAGTCATATTAAGCTCAAGGAATAACTGATAAGTCCAAGTTCTTTTCTTTTCCGATAAGATAAGATAAGATAACCTTTATCAGTCCCACACGTGGGAAATTAGTTTTGTTCAGGATGAGTTCAGGATGTGGTGGGAGTCAGCAAATCTGTTTAGGATGACTATTGCCTCGCTGTAGAGTAAATACAGTGGACTCAGAGGTTCCTTTTGTGCCAATATTCTGGTCCCACTGTGGCCTGAATCTGCAACAGAAGACTCTTATGAAGCATTTTAACTTTAACTCCAGGCTATACTTACAGAGGTAATTAAACCAGCTCTGGGAAAACATTTGTCTGTTTCAGTTCAACGTCCAACATTACTTCTTTCCTCTTTTTGCTCTTCTTGTCCTTGTCGACATACACGGGACAGTGTTTGAAAAAGTATTTTATTACTTCATGTTTTTTTTTTCTTTCATTGTTTGCAATCTGTCCAGGAGAATAGATCCATCTTGCTGTGCCCTTGCTCTTGTTGTGTTGCCCCAGGTCTTCCCGCCTCATGTTTCCCCACTGGTGTGCACACCAAGCCAGTTTTGTAGCTGTCCTCAGTATCACCCAGCTGCCTCTAAATAAAGTCTCATGTTATGGTCAAACTGATTCCATTTCCCCTGTTGTGGACTGAAGTCCTTTTCCAGTCTGCACCTTAAGACAGTGAAACCAGAGTCTTTTCACTGGACTCACTGGAGAGGCAGCTGATTATTGCTCCAATATGTATTGTTCCAAAGTGTGTGTCTATAGCGACCACCCTTTTTATAGCCACATGTCTAATACTGTGGTAAACACTACAGTTCACATGTGAACGTAGTTTTGGGACAACTGGAACCTCATAAAATTCAGAAACAATGCCTGCCCATTAAAAATGAACTGTGCAGGCAGCTTACAGATGGCTCCATTGTAGATATGAGAACAGACTTTAGCTGTGTCACTGTGCTCCTTCATAGGTAGAGAGCAGTCATGAGCTTGATCTGTGTCAGTCTTTTCTCCTCACTGAGATTACATAATAGCAGGAGAAGATTTAAAAAGACCAGAGTCCTTTAGGCAAACGTACTAAACTAACTTCTTGATTCAGCTTTATTGCCACTTTGTACTTTTTAAACGGGTTAAATTTTTTGTACAATTATAGATAAAAATAGAATAGAATTCAACTTTGTCATTGCACATGTCACAAGTACAAGGCAACAAAATGCAAAAATGTGGGTGTGTGGGCTTGTAATACTTATTTTAAGGTAGCGTTCTTTTTGTGTTTGAATGGTTTGAGATATTAAATGTTAAAGTATTATAATCCTGAATAATTACAGATGTTCAGTGTACAAGAATGGGATTTAAATATTCCTCATTTGTGTGTGTGTTTAAAACTCTGTGGTTTCCTTTTTTTTGTCCTTTTGCAGTCAGAGGTATGAGACGCTACTGAAAGACATGGAAAAGAAATCCGAACAGCATCGAGAAGTGTTGTCAAGTTTACAACAGGAGTTTCAGAAAGCCCAGGGCCTCGCTGTGGGCAAAGTCTGATGGAGTGATGTAGCTGCACGCACGCTTACACACAGTAGTTAATATTATGTAAACCTGCGACACTCTGCTTGTTTCTTGGCATTTCTTTGCAGTGTTATTACTGTGACTTTTCTCTTGATACGAATAAACCTTTTTTTTTTCATGAACCATCACCTTTGCATTAGTTTTCATTTTAGAGAGCATTTTACCTTTAGGACATGTGCTGCATCCTGACAAATTACACACCAGGCCTGTGCAGCACTCTGTGTGTTTGTTTCTGTGAACATTTGCCTTAATTACTGGGGCATGCTGGTTGCCACCAGAGCAGATGTTGTCCAGTCACTGACCTCTTCCACAGCTCACAGCAGAGAAAAAAGCACAGCGGTGCTGCTTTGTTCAACTAAATGAATGTGCGTTTCTCTCCATTTACCACCAGCGGAGGAGTTCACTAATAGTCAAGAAGTGAAGCCTGTCTGAGGGTTTAAAGGAAAAACATATACTCTAAATTAATATAGATATGCGACTAAACTTTTGTCCGGAACAGCCAGCGGATTTTGAGCTTTTAAAAACTGTTCATACAGAAGAAATACCAATTATGTTATAAAAGTCGCACGTAAATCGGTTTCCTTGCTGAATTTCGCCGCTAATCTGTATAATTGTAACCCTGCTTTGCAGACGAAGCCGAGCGCATTTACGGGCTCAAACTCCTGCATCACCGGTTTGCGTTAAAATGTTTCACATCTGCTGTGAGTATCCTTAACTTGGCTAACGCTAACCTCACGAGGACGTGCGGTAATTGGCACTACGACACAAAGGCGACGACGAAGGTGTCCTCGTGCACGAGTCTGTTACCTCCAGCGCGCGTGCTCCAGCTGAGCCATTAACACCTGGAAGTGCATTATGCTTTAAACACAGCCAGAGCCGAGCCACTGACAGACCGAAACCAGCTGTCTTTAGTCGGTCTACACGAGAGAGATACTTTGCTTTGTTTTTTTTTTATTATTATTGATTTCAGACAATAAAAACTGTCTGTTTACCTGCTATTAAATCATTGTGCTGTATTTTCTGGCTCTGACTTGTGTCTCCTGCGAGCGTCAAATGGTTTGTTGTGGAGGGCAAACGGCGTGTTTATTGTGTTCTCCCTAATGTGGTAAAACCATCACGGGCGGGAGCAGCTGCTGATCTGCAGGTTTAGTCAAACACTTTCCGATGCTACCGTTTGGGATATTTGTTTTGGGACAAAATTCAATTTCATGTCCTCTCTGGCATCATTCTGAGCAAATGTATCTGATTTATAGGTTGTATTCTTATCCACTTCACAGCGCCTTTAAAAAAAAAACCAAGTTTCCCGTTGACCTGTTTGATCTTCATTTAGACAGATGCCCCTCTAATGAAACCTAATCTGATTTCAACTTTAATTGATTTACTTAGTCTTGTGTGGGCTTTTCTTCGTGCGGTTAAAGCTTAGAGGCGCACAAAGGAGCATCCTGTCCAGAGATCAGCGCAGCGGGACTAACACCTCCTTTGATAGATGTTTTCAAACGCACTTTGAAGGAATTCCTGTAGGATTCATGATAAGGAGACTTAAAGAGACACACGATATTTCAAGTCGCTATAAACCTGAAGCTGTGGATGAGTTTTGACGCACAGAAAAACATAATTTTTTTTAAATTGTCTTCTTTTATTTGTGTCCTCTGTCATTTAAAAAAAAAAAATGTCAGTAAACTTAAGACATTTCAGCGATGTGAAGGAAAAACGAGAGCAGTTACATTTTCAAATAAAAGGGGATGATTGCAGGACAATCACCGCTACTTTATCCAGGACGGGTAAGCGTTGGGCTGTGACCTATCACATCCAGCGTGCATTGAAATGCTGATGGGGGGCAGTTCCCAGTTTTGAGTGGATCTTTTATTCAAATGCAGATAATCACACAATCGAGGCTGTTATCGCACTGATCACACCTGGCGGTAGCCTA